GGGCCCTAATCAGCCGCTTAGTTATCTTATGCTTTGAGCCTGCCTTTTTATTTGTGGAATTTGTTTGTATATTTGCAAATTTGTTTTGCATTTTCAAGAAATTTATGTTTTTATTTTTGTTGTTTATTTATTTTTTATCTTTTGCATTTGTGGAAGGTGTTTTACTTTTACAGATTACACATTTACCCATGGATTGTAGATCTGGTCACACAAAAAATATTGAAACAAAAGGAGATTTGAAAACACTTGTACGGAAAACAAAATCTCCTAGATCTTAAATATGGAGAAATCATTCATCAAAATATTTACTTTCAGCAAATAATCAGAACAAGTAAAGGCCCCCACCTGTAACACAGCACCTCATGAGAAGTTTTCATATTTTTAGGATCATGTAATCAAGGCCCAATATAATGTGTAAATGCTGTCAGAGTCAGTAGTTACTCACACTGCAGCAGGAATCAAAAGATGTACAAACTGTCCACACACAGATGCTGCACATGCATAATTTTTATAATGAGCTGCTCATGTGCAAGCATGTATGAATATATGAACTGAACAGAGCAGTGTGTATGTGTGTGTGTGTGTGTATGTGTGTGTGTGTGTGTGTGTGTGTGTGTGTGTGTGTGTGTGTGTGTGTGGGAGTGTTGGTGATGGGGGGCTTTGTCTGTGATAGCTATCGCTGACTGGGTTAGGGCGAAGGTCTGTGATATCTCCCAGCCATCGACACACAGTGTTGCTGTTGAGACTCACCTCAGAGTCACCCTCTGTTCCTCTCCTCCTCTCTCCTTCGCTCTCACTCTCCTCATCTCCTCCCACCTCTCCTTCGCTGATTCCCAGGGCGTTTCAGTGCAGTTGTGTTTCACATGCAGGGTGTGTCTGGATGGCTGCTGCAGTGTGACCAGCACCCCACCTCCTCCCCTCCAGCCTCTCTCCTCCCTCCTCAGCTTTCTCCCTCAGATCCTCTTCTACCCTTTCGCCCTCCAGTCCTTTCTTTCTGGACTCCTCCTCACGTTCGTTTCTCCTCCCCTCCCTTCTCCCCTCCGTGGCTGCATTTGACTGCACAGGTCTGTTTGGCATGCAGGAGGCTCCTGAGGCCTGGCGCGTCTAAAGGGCAGGGCGCCCAGAGGCAGGAGACGCACCCTCACTGACAAACACCATCTACCCCAGACCCCGAGCAGCTACAGAAACCACAACACCAGCTACAGCGCCACGTCCAGGTCTAGTATCATACATCTCCTCAGCTTCACATCCACACTCTCAGCCCTGAAAGTAGGAGCCATAACCTCTGCTTATTCTGAGCGCAGATTGCTCATCTGCTCTCAGGTGTTAAATGCCATACGTACGGATCAAAGCATCTGCCTTGAGACCGACATTAAGAATGGATTGGCCTTCTCCTGGCTGAGAGGAGAAAGAGGAGATTGTTGGGAAACAATGACAAAGATGAAAATAGTGGAAGTAGCAGATGAGGGGTGGAGGAAAGAGAGGGTTGGTGAGGTGTAGTAAGCCCATGCCAGGTGGAAGCTGTCTGGGTGTCTTCCTCCATCCCTCACTCTATTATTCCTACCCATATTTTTACTCTTTCAAATGCATTTACATGTGCTAAGGTATTTCCCCCGGGAGCGCGACTCCAATTCAGGAGGTAAGATAAGCCATCAAAGTCAGTGACAGAGAGGGCGTATGGGTGACTCACTGACAGGCTGAGTGGAAGACAGTCAGGAGAGCTGCCTTGACTTGCGTGCGTGCACACACACACACACACACACACACACACAGACACACACACACACACACACACACACTCACACACATGCATATTGATACAACTAGCGCACAATAATTTCAAGTGTACAAGCAGCACCTTTACGTCGTTGTACAAAGACAGTACTCCACAAAAAAGAAGCTATAAAGAGGAAACCAGAGGTTATTTTGCAGCTCCATTCACAGCACACACACACTTATACAGTACATACGGTTTTGCACGTACAATGGCATTTTCTCCCCAACAACTGCTCTTGTTTAGTATGCGCTTCCTTTGGTCTTGAGGAGGAATGATCCTCACTCTAATGAACTAGGGCCTGCCACTTGAATGTAAAACAGGATTTAACCCGTCTTCAATGTCAGAGCCCCTCCCTGGGGCTGCTTCAGACAACACACACACACACACACACACACACACACACACACACACACACACACACACACACACACACGTTCGCGCACACGCAAATTCATGGAGATGCACACATGAGCAAACCACCAATGTACACACACACACACACACACACACACACACACACACACACACACGGTGATGCACGCCCGCATATACTTTTTCATAAGTGAGACACTCTCCATGTACTCTCTGTGCTTTGGTGTTCATTTTAGACCAATTTATGGCAACGTCTTTGTTGAATCCGACACACTCAAACGATGACCTGCTTCACGCCAGGAGTCGATCTCACCTGCTCCATACTTTACTTTTTTATTACGGATCAATAGTATGTGAGCTATAACTATTTGCAGTGACACAGACATCTTTTGATATTTATACTACCACTGATTTGTCCCTTGTGTTTGTTACTCCTGGCTGTGCGTGGTATGAATTCGTGCTGGTCTCACACATATATTAAAAGGCTGTATATGAATGTGTGTTAAACATTGGATGTTTTGTGAAGTGGTATCTTAGTAACTAACAACTCTAGTGTGTGTAAATGTAAGTGAGGAGAAAACTATTTGAATCAGATATTAAACCTTAATTAACTATATAATAAATAAATAGAACCATGCACTTTCATAGGTCTTTATTGTTGAATGTATGTGTTGCACAGAAGCAAGAAAGAAACAACGTCTTGAGTTGTGCTCCTCTACTGGAATATTTTATTGTTATCATCATCTGTATCACTGTTTTTCTTTTTACATTTGTTCATTTTATTTGATGAGTGGGTGGAGTATTCACAAAGATGGCAGGATAACATTAGATTCACAGTGATGGGCAAGGGGTTAGCTATTTAATTAAAAACAAAAAACAAAAACATACACACTTGTACAAGCAACCGCACACACGCATTCATACGCACAAATTATACCATTAAACACCCGAGAACATGTGCGCTCACACATATATGTATGTGACAGCTACAGTATGGGTGTGTAGTGCACATCGGATCAGAACAATTAGAAATGTCTCTTCTTTTTTTTCCCGTCTGACATCAGAACATCTGAGATCTCCACATAAACCGAGCCCTCAGATCAGACACTGAACCATGACTCAATACGGGAGAATTCTTATTCACATTCTGAAGATTTGTTTTTCTTCAGGTTTTATACATTTCAGTTTGAAGGAATTTATTCAAAAAGTGCTAGAGAATTATGTGTTGTTTAATTCATTGATTACTATTGTTAAAAATGTGAATCCTCACAATTTTTTAAATACTTTTGTCTGCATTTGGCAAAAAGGGTCAATGTTTTAAATGGTAAATATTACATTTTGTAATGAAAATTGTTTGAGTATATCACCAAATTGTTTGTGACTCACTTCAGTTCAAATGGGAGACTAAATATTTTGAGCACTAATTTAAAAAAAGTGTTTTGTTTTGTTTTGTTTTTACCGTCCTGAGAGGAAGTCCAATCAAACAGTGTGAAACTGAAATTTCAAGTGTTTCATATTTCCACTTTTTCATTTAAAACTTTATCTCCATTTGACTGAATTGAACTGAAACCAATATCAGAGTAATTCAGGTTGTTTTTTATTGACCTTTAATGGTCATCTTTTAATGACCACATGTAGTCTGTTTATTTTACCTGCCTTTTTAAATGAGCATTTATCCCCTCTACTACACTGTGGTCAGGCTGTGGTATTAGCGACCACTCTTGCATTGTTTTCTGTTTTAACAGGATCACACAGCGAGTGTTAAGTGATGAAGTGCTTTGAGTTCACACCAGAACAAATTCCAGTAAGTGCTCAGAAAAACACAGAGGTTTAAATGATAATAAAACACGTCTGTCCAACACCATTTCCCCTCCTAAAAACATTTTCAGAAATATTTTTTTTAGAGAATAATAAAAAAAAGTATTTGGATGATATTGTGCATCCAATAAAACAATGTTATTTTGTCTGTCTAGACACATTTTTTCACACGATTTTCCCATCTGTTTTATCTGGTTCAAAAATCAATAAAAACCTTAAAAAAATTAAAAAAACAAGAATATGGCTTTCATACACAAACACAATCGCAGCATCATACAGAATATACTATAATTAATACTCAGTTAAACAAGTGAACTTCCTATAATCAAACAACAGAAATAACATCCAGTCTGCATTGCATTTTCTTCCCTTATATATAATGGAATGTCTGGGACTACATTATTCATATTTTTGTCCCAACAGTGTGCTTTAAGTATGGCTGACCGATGAATACTTGGATTTATTATTATTATCATTATTATTATTATTATTATCATCATTTTGAATCTCAATACAAAAACACCAGAGGGCTGGCTCCATCTATTTCACGGGAAACCCTATAATCAAATTCTCACCTGGATCTCAGTGTAAGAGATGATTTGTATAATACTGCAATAATAAAAATTTATTTCCAAAGTCACTCTCATTCCTACAGACATGTGTCCATCTCTTTCTACTGTCTTTAGGGTTAATTGGGTTAATTGGGGTGACAGTGAGGAGGGTGTGAGCTGAGGGTCTTTATGGTTTTGTCTCTATATACAATATGGCTTCTCTGAGTGGAAGAGACACAGAAATCAACACAGTCATCTAGAGAAAGACACAGAGCAGAGTTCATTATTGTTGTAGAGAAGGAAAGTCTTGAGGGACAACCAGTCAAAAGTTTCCATGTCCCATTTTCTTTGAGAATCACTGTCACTTGTCCACAATAGGCAGACACAATAATTCCCTATGGCAGCGACTTGTCACATACTTTAGATCTCAGTTATTCAACTCATTGTCCAATTAGTAACGTCCTTAGAGGCTTAATGTCCTGCCACTTCTGTCTGTCCTGCCCTTTTCAATGTCTTTCTTTCTGTCCTGTCACCCCGCTCCATCCTTCATTTTTATCTTCTCCTCTCACCCCCTCCCTTTTGACTCTCAGTCCTCCTCGGAGCCTGCAGCCCCCCTCAGTCCATTCATACAGAAGGGCAGGCCGGAGGAGAAAGGGCTGTCAGACGGGGAGAAACCACTGAAGGGTGGCAGGCCGGCCAGCCGCTGTAGGTGGGGAAAGAAGGCGGGCGGGGGTCCCTTGTGGTGGTCCGAGCGTAGCTGCAGGCCATCGCTGTGTCCTGCGCTGTGGTGGTGGGAGGGAGGCAGCTCAGGTGGAGCGTAGCGGATAGTGCTGGGGGCGTAGAGGCTCTGCGGGCCCTGTGGGCCAAGGGCAAGGGGGTGGAAGAGGACCCGCCCCGCAGCACCGCCTGCAGCCAGTCTCTGGAGCAGCTCAAAGTCAGGAGCACCACCTCCACCACCGCTGCCACCACTGCCCCGACTGACCACCCCTGACACAACCCTCTCCTCGCGGGGCAGCGGGGAGGACACGGACATGGCGGGGGACAAAGCAGGGGACGGGGGAGTGAACAAACCTTTTGGAGGGGCTTCACTGCTGGAGGAAGAGTCGGGGATCGGGGTGGTGGGGCTGTCGCCGTTGAGACTGCTGGAGGGTGTGTGTGCATGTGAGGGTTGGGGCTGGGTGGTGTGCGAGGTGGAGGTTTGTGTGTGTGACCCCCAGCGCCCCCCGGTGGTCAGGGAGTCATGTTCAGTCTTGATGCTGGGGCTGCCAGACAGGGGAGAGGGGGTCACTACACTCTTCAGCTGCTGGATCACAGCCCGGCCGTTGTGCGCCCTCCCTCCTCTCTCCCCTCTAGTCGGGGTGTCTCCCCCCCTACTCTGTTTACCTCCTCCCCCACCGTCTTCTTGTTTCAGTCTGTCACTGTCTCCCCCCTGGTCCCACTCTGTTTCTTCCTCCTCCTCCCCATCACTTTCGCTCGCCAGGTCGGAGGAGGCTGATACACTCTCCTCGGTGTGACGGAGTTCCTCCAGTCTGCGGCGGGTTTCGGGAGGAGCTCCCTCAGGGTCGGACCTCAGCAGGCGCTTCCTCCTGTCCTCTGATTGGATGGCAGCGGCAGAGAATTTCTCTCTGCCTTTAGTGTCATGGTCACTCTTCCCCAATGAGCCCTTCACTGGCTGCGAGCCTGAGGGGGAAGGGAGATTTTTATGATAAGGAGACACATAGGCAGGTGTTTCATTGTGTCAGTGGGCATCATGGGAAGGTAGTAATGTATGTGTAGCATCCTACCTCTGGCCTGGGGGGAGCTGTCGGTGGGAGAGGAGCTAACCCGAAGTCTCTCTGCTCTTACGCTCTCTGGTAGCTGCAGTAGATCCAGGGGAGTGTCGGGCAACTCTGTTCGACTGGATGGATAAATGGATGGGAAGATGGATAAATGAGAAAATGGGAAAGGAGACAGAGAGGGAGAAAAGGTGGACGTATACACAAATGATCATCTACCACTTAAAGCCACTTACAGCCTTAAAAAAACACTAGAGCAGTGCTGATTTCAGTGAATACTTAGCGATGGAAACAACATATAATCAGCCTAATAACAACCTCCAATAGCCAAACTGCCTCACACCCTTCTAACCTCCACCTAACACACACCCGGTTCTCCAAACAACAGCCTTACAACACATACACATGCAAACAGACACATAGGCAAACCCCACCCTTTAAGACACACACACACACACACACACACACAGAAAAAAAACACACACACACACTATGCCCCATTCAGCAGCCCACCTATACACAGTTAAGCCGAGACAAGGAGGAGGCTGTTGGAGAAGTTAATGAGCTCTTGTAATTACAGCACTAATTAACTAAAACACCATTCAGCCCCAAAATTCTGACATCCATTTGTTGTAATTATATAGCTTCAGTCCAATTAGCATTGAAATTCAGCCTACTCCTCTTGTTTTTGTCTGACTGCTCTGTCGCTGTGCGCACATTTTTGTTGTGTGTTTGTGCGCGCGTGTGTGTGTACAATGTGTGAGTATATTTGCATCAGTGTCTGAGTGAGTACGTGTGTGTGTATATACAAGAGGGAAATAAGGGAAAAGCATATTTTTTGAGGTTACCTACAGTTGTTGTGTCCGTGGTGAAAATAAAATAAAGCCTTAAACAGAGGTAATACTACATTAAGGCAACGAGGGTAATTTAAACTAAAGCACAAACCAAGAGGACACATTAAATAGTGACTAAGTAGCGGTGTATTGCTGTTTACAGACAGATGAACAATGTTAGAGCAGCTGAAAAACTACTCACTCTAGTCTCTAGTTCTCTCAAGTTTGATTAATTCTTTTTTACTGTGTGTAATAAACAAAATAAATTGAACATTTGACTGGCCAATACAGAAAGTTGAGTTTTAAAAAAATTTAAAAAATGAGACTGCCCATCAACTGCGAAATCTTATGTTGTATCATTATTGAATTACTTTGAAAAAAATGTAAGAACTTGCCGTTCATTTGACGTAATGATAGTTATAATAATTGGAAGAATTGTCAGCAATAACATAAAGTGGGATTCACAGACTCTTTCTGTATTTAGGGAAAAAAAACTCAAATTTATTTAAACTATAAAACATACCATTTGAAGATGACTAAGACTTTTACATTACGTCAAAATATTTACTAAAATTTTAACTATCATGAATATTTATATAAAACTTTTAAATAACTATTAACTTCAACAGGCCCTGGTATTGTGCTTTACTTTACGATGTCACTATTTTGAAAGTATCACCTTCAGTTTTCTCAAATGTTGGAGGGAATCAAACTCTTCCAATAATCCCTCTGCATTTCATCATCTATCCCTTCAAAAGGATCTCAGCACACAGTGTGGTGCCTGCATATTTAAACTTGGTTTATATCAGCAGTCCTCCTGGAGAACAGATTGTGACTCCGCTGCAGTTGTACTAACCTCAGGACATAGTTGACCCAGATGACGTTGCGTTCGTGGGGGGCTTTGTGGTTGATGGAGACAGTGGCAGTGGACTGGATCCACAGGTAGCCTCCTCTCCTCTGGAGCCAGCGATAGTAACCCGTCACTACCTGGCCTTTTCTCAGCACTGGGAGGAGAGCGGTGGATGGTGGAGAGGAGGGGAGAGGATGAGGAGAGGATGAGGATGAGGATGAGGATGAGGAGAGGAAAGGAGAGAAAGACAGTAAAGAAGCCCGTTATTAGTTTGACAGTTCATGATGATAGCAGCAGAGGGCGCCTATCACAACAGGACTGAATGAGATTTCAACAGGCTCCCCTCGCCCCCAAGTGCAGACAATGTGTAGAAGGAGGGGAGTGGGGATCAGTTTCATACATAACATGTGCCTATGGATGTGACTCACAGTCTTCATGGCTTTGCCGAAGGTTTTCCAGGTCCTCTACATGGATGAAGTGGTAGCAGGTGTGACCTACCACCTCTGCTGGGGTCAGATCCATGTACTCTGAGATCCTGTACGGAAAAGCCACAAACAAGAAACAAACATATTTGTTTACTAAACAGAAACAGATGAGTTTTCTAAAAGCACCAACTGGCAGATTGCTCTGCCAACTGCTGGTGAAAAAAAAAAAGACATTCCTCTGACCTTATCTATACTCAAAACCTTTACCTGTTCTCACAATATGTGACCTGTAGGTCCATGTTCACTCGGAAGACAAACATGTGGCTCTCCATGCGGACTTCATTAAGCGTGGAGGGCGGAAGTGTGTGCGCCAGTGCCACCAGACCCATCGGTCGACGCATTGAACGCGTGGAGCCCGGCACAAGTGCGGGGCGGCAGCGGATTCGTCCTGTCACGTGGATTACCTGACAAACAGAGGACAACAGTATGTATTCCTTATGCACATTTAGAATCAGGATAAAATAAGAGTATGGTGGAATTTGAATCGGTTGGTGCTTTGTTAGACAGTTACACAATCCAGGATGAAGAAAATAACAGTAACAATAAGACGAACTCAGAAATATAATATTCACCAATATACATTTCACATAAACACAATACAAAGACAAATTCTAAGCAAAAGATGCAGCAGCACCGGTGTTACAGCAGTGAGTGCAGTAAATTGTCTGTTATATGCAGCGGTCCAGTGTGAAATAAGGTCACAGCCATAAAACACGGTGAAAACGACCACCTTGACAGTGCTATGAAACACGGGCAGCGCAAAACAAAATGACAAGGGTCTGCTTGTTATTTTACCAGCCCAAGAACAAGCAGCTGAATGCTAAAGCATGCATAATACAAGGTATGTTTTCAAATCATGATAAATTCTTTTCTCACACATTCAGTACCTTGTATCCAGAAGACTTGACATGCAGGCCTCTTTTGGTGAGCGTGGACTTCATGCGGATGAAGAAACCGCGATCAGGAGGCTCGTCAGCAGGAGAGTGAGGACTAGACGGAGCTGTTGAGGTTCAGAGAAGAGGGGGATAAAACAAAACTCACTTATTTTTGTTTATTCTTTTTTGTTTTGATGATGCAAATTGAGTTCAGTGAATATAACGAAAATGATCTTTTTTCTTATATTTCTTTCAGTTTTCTCTCTATATATTGACAGGATAATCAGTACCGGGCTCAGGGGTACCAGCCAGGGAGGAGGTGGATGCGGAGCTGGAAGCGCTCTCAGGCGCCGTGTGGCAGCCGGCCTCGGCCCTAAGATGCGGCCTGATTCCCAGCCGCTCCGCCATCTCGACGTGGTCCGCTGGGTGGATGTAGTCGAACACACTGCTGCCGGTCAGCTCCACCTGAGGAGAAACACATACACTGATCAAAAACAGAAGCTTAGAGCACAAATACGTACACATGAGCACACACGCACACACGCACGCACACACACACACACACACACACACAGACACACACACACACACACACACACAGAGGAAAAATCAATAGATGTTATGACAGGAAAATGAAAGCGCTGCTCTGGGTTACAACTCAACAAGGAGTGTGGAGGTTGTAAGACATTCCGACACACACACACACACACACGCACGCACGCACGCACGCACGCACACACACACACACACACACACACACACGCACGCACGCACGCACGCACGCACACACACACACACACACACACACACACGAACACATTTAAGTCCAGTCTCAGAGGACTGAGTGACTACAGTATTACACAAATAAAACCAGGGGAGATAAAAATCAATTGTATTTGCTGATTAAAAACAGGTGAACTCCAAGTATCTCCAAAGGTCACATTACTATTCTTCTTCTTATTCACAGTGTCCCTCCCTGCTCCTTCATTCAGTTACAGTCTATCCCAGCAGGCATAAAGAGCAGTGCAACAGCTCTATATGATCCTATCATCATAATGCATCATAGTCGCATCTCTAATCATTTAAAGGTAATAATGGCTCTGCTCTTGCATGGCATCCATAAAAGCAGCACAATCGAAGCAGGTGTGATTCCATCTGAAGCTGTATAAATGAGTGTGTGTGTGTATGTGTGTGTGTGTGTGTGTGTGTGGAGGGGGGGGGTAGGCGAGAGCACGCATGCTTACGCACATGTATGCAGCTTCTATTACATCTGTGAATGAGTGTGTGTGTCCTTGCATGTGTGTGCCAATACCATTCCATCTGATAAAGCCGTGGCTGCAGCAGCCTCACACCCTTGTCTGTAGGACACAGCCATTTATTACCGGATTAGAGCCATTTACTGCAGGCTTTATGGGAGCTTCAGCAGGCCCTCAAGGACATCACAGCCGAGGAGATGAAGAAGGGGAACGGGGAAGGTGGGAGCGGCGGAATGAGAGCGATGCACGATGGGTGAACAGAGAGGGGAAAAGATGGAGGAAACCCCACCGTTTGAGGGAGGATAAGAGAAGGGATAGAGGTTCTTAGTCCCAGACATGCAGGGCTTAATCTCTTGGGGTATGCCCTGTTTTTTTTTGTTGGCATTTTACCACCTGTAATAAAGATATTATTGAATACCAGATCTGATAGGCACCATATGGACTAATTTTCCTCCATACTGAAAAAATGTGCTACGATCAGACATTGAAAACAACTGTAAACGGCTATTCTGCTGACCTATGTACTTATGCATATTTAGGATTTTTTTTTGCCTTTACTTGGTCGTGACAGTAAGAGATAAAAACAATAAATACAAGGAAAGAGAGGTGAACAATATCCCAAAAAGGTTCTTGGACGGAAGACGTTGCAGTCATATCACATATATCTTAACCGTTGGGCCACTGCACAACCCAATATACGTTTACAGTCCAAAAAGTGAACTGAACTGAACATAAAGTGCACATGAGATATATGGTCAAAATCGTATATAACGGTTTCAAGAAAATAAGTGAAATAAAAATGATTATTTTCCATGTTCTTGTTATACGCTAAACATATGCTATAGACATTTTTTTGAGTATTTCTATAACAAAATCCTTCCTGTAAAGCTGTTTAAAATATTTTTAGTGACTTCTCTTGAGCTTGGGGGGAGACCAACAGACCAGCAGTCACTGTCTTTTAGCTCCATTTTTGGTCTCTACCAACTCATGAGGTAAACATCTGGCTCTTTAGCTGCTAAATGTTCCACGATGTTCACCAGCTACTGCGTCTGTCTGTTGTTTGGTGCTGAGCAGGAAGAGCTTTTTTTGGAAGGTGACACCATCAGAGCGGCGAGAGTGAACTAAAACGGGGGCTGAACAATGCGCTGGAACTTGCTGGAAAACTTCTTAAAACTGAGGGCAGCTGCAGATTCAAGTGATAATTCTCTGTTTATCACGCATTTGATACACTCATTTGATATAATTTAATAATGCAGATCCACATTAATTTGCATGAAGTTCTTTTGGCAGTTATTAAACATCATCAATTGAAGTTGATGGTTGCAAGAAAAAAGTCAAAATTAAGAAAAATTATATCAATTTCTTTTTACATTCTATAAAATGTCATTTAAATGTACTGGTCTATAATGTTGAAGGCCTTAAAAATAAATAGCCTGTGTATCAAAGGGGCAACATGGAAAGCTTAACAACATCTGAATATACAGGATAAGTGGTTTTTTCTCTGGTCGCTCTTCTCTTGACTATGCAGATATAACGTCAGCAGTGTAATTATTAGGTGCTGGATTTTTCTGCTGCATTCCTTTTGATTCTGACATCAAAACTGACTCATTCATTAATGTTTAAAAATTAAGAGTTCGCGTCTAGGCTTTAAGAGGCTGGATATTTGACAAGTAAATGGACTGGGGTTGCTTTCTAAAACTTCATCTCTGGATGAACATTGCATCGGGCATCTTTTATTACTGATTACACCAAGATGTCTGTCTGTCTGTCTATCTATCCCATCTATTTGTCTGGGGTTAAGGTTTCTGTATTTCATAAATAGCAATTCTTCTGCAAAGGGAATTCTTGTCATTTTTAAACAAGGGCTAAATTTACCTCTGCTCAGAACACTGGACCAGCCATCTGAAAGAGACACAATCCCCTGGCCCTGTGGTATTGGAAAACAAGGTAGAGAGACAAACAGGTCCTTATGGGCTTTACCGGGCTTAAGACCTATCCGAATAATATCACTCCATCACAGGCAGGAGGGAGGGAGTGAAAAAAGATCAGACAGAAATGAGAAGATGAGAAAGAGAAGGAGCGATTGAGAGGATGAGTCAGGCTCAGACATAAAAACAGGTATAGAATGTGGCGCGAAGGGAGACGTGAGGAGAGACCGAGATCATTCAAATCTCTCCGAGAGTGCGTGTGTGTGTGTGTGTGACTGTGTGCGTGTGTGTGTGCGTATGCAAGTGCGCGCCATGCCTCTGTTTCTCTGCGTATGCGACTAGACTGTCTGTTTTTGTCTCCGTGCGTCACTGTGTGTCAATGTTTGTGTGAGCAGTTGTCTGTCAGTGCATCTGCGTGAACCTGTGTGTGTGTGTGAGTTTGTGTGTGCGTTTGTGTGTGCGTTTGTGTGTGTGTATGCAGACATGCACGTACATGTATGTATGGTGGTGTGGTGGGGATGGGGGAGTAGGAGGAGGGCAGTGAGCAGGGGAAGGAGAGACATGATATAAATAATAGCAGGGGGCTTTAATATGTATGAGGCATCCGGGCAGTGGTCCACAACACACTCTCAGCCCTCAGCCCTCACTGACTGATGGGAGAGGAGAGAGGGAGGGAGGGAGGGGGAGAGGGAGGGAGGGAGGGGGGAGCGGGGGCTGCATACTAACCATTCCCAGATCAATTCTCTCCTCCCTCAATCTACCATCCTTCCTCCCTTCTCTTTACCCCATTTATCCCTTTCCTTTCTCCTCCCTGCCCCTACTCTTACTTCTCCATCCTTTCCATCTCTCCTCCCTCCAATTCTTCATTTTTTCCAGTCTTTGTCTTCACTTCCACAGCTCCATCCATCCTTCTCTAGCTTCCTCTCCCCCTCATTTTCTATGTGGCGTTCCCAGGTTTATCCCCATGCTTCTGGCCTGGAGACCCGGTGAGAAGTAAAATGATACCTGCAGGCGCCAGGGGAGTAGGCGGCAGGCTGTGCCCTTGGTCAAGGTGTCTGACCTGGGCTAAGCCGGCTAAGCAACCCCCCTGTCTGGGGAGCAGCCCGGGGTGTAAGCCAGGGCAGAGGGGTCAGACAGGGGGGACAGGAGACGGCAGGGCAGGGGCGGTCCACAGGGGCGACATGCCCTCCAAAACAAACCACAAGTTACACTTTTTCACTCAGAACATCATTTGTTTGTCTGTCCTTCCTCTCTCCCCTGTGTCTGCCTCCACTTGTCAACAAAGTATATCCAAGTGTTTTTGTCCTCTCCATCCCACCTTTCCTTTCTCTCTTTTTGTGTGTTTTTCATTCTCACCGTTTGTGTCCATAAACACACTATAAACTCTCTCTCATATATCCTCTAAGTCACTCTATCTGCCCTTTTCTGGCTGGCATAAAAGCCCTCCATCCCCGCCCACTCTCATCTCTTCAGGAAGGTAAATGTGGCGTTGTATGTTCAAGGTTTTGAACGTAATCTTCGATCATAAATAATTTCATTAGAATGCTGATGGCTTAGGCCCCTGTTTGAGTAGATGTGATGGGTTAGGCCATCTGCTCAGCTGATAAGAACAGCTCTGTTTTATTAGCATCTCCACCAAAGCCTCGGCTGTCTTGTTTACCTAGGCAATCCCAAGGCGAATTTCATTCCTACTGCACATTTAAACTCTATTTACACACTCAGACTCTCTCTCTCCTCTTTACCACTGTCTCTCTTTCTCTCTCCCATTGCTCTCCTTTATTTTCTTTCCCTCTCGTAATTGTCTGTCTGGTTCTCTTTATTTCTCTGTGTCTCCCTTTTTGTTCCGTTTTCCAGCTTCTACAGCTCTATCTTACTGTTTGACTATTTGTCATTTCTTTTTTTTTTTGCCACTATATTTTTTATCTCCATGTGTGAGTGTGCATGTGTGCATTACTTGCATATGTGTCTTTGCAAAATGAAGACTCGAGAAACTCTTGTCCTTATCTTACATACAAATTGAATTCATGTCAGCTTAAAGGATAGGTTTTGGATTTTTTCACGCCTGTCATACGTAATACAACACTCACATGCCCATATGTATGCCCATATGGCCAATGTATTCATTCTTCCTCTCCACATTAGCTGTGAACTAATCTCTTTCTAATGTGACTCCACTGTTAAGCTGGATTTACGGTTCCGCACCTCTGTCAGGGCAAATGGTGGAAACAGAGATGCCACATGGAGATTGCAAAAAATATGATGAGGCCACACGAGCTGCTTGTGTTTCCTGTGCCGGTGGAGAGCGGTGATGGTGAATGTAACATTAAAGAGCAACTTAACATCCCCTGAAAATCAATCTTGTTTTTGCTGATTCCTAGTGGTTTACCTTTGTACCTTGCTGCAGTGAGGCACAGGTGTACTCCATGACCAAGTACAAGGTTCACTTTTGACCAACCGCAACCAGCAGGGCTGCAAGGTGTCAAACTGGGCTTCAAACCTTTAACTAAAGAGGACAAAATAGCTGCAGGTGTTTAATTACTCTTTAAGGAAGCTGAAGAAAGACATTGTAAACTTTTCTTTTTTTGCAACTGCAAACCTGCTTGCTGTGATTTCTACTCCACATCATAGGGATTGAAAGAGTGTAAAAATGATCTCATGCAGTCTCCTCTCCACTAATGAGACAAAGTGACTGTGGGTATATAATTAAGGAACCATGTGGCCTGTATAATACATGCATATACAATATATCAATCTGGTGTTGCATCGGTACCATCAATGGTAGAAATGCATGGTGCAACTTAAAATGTTGTGTAGGTATCTATGGCGGGCTCGTAATCCCTTGTGTCAAGTGTAAATTAGTCTTTATTATAGTCCTTAGTCTGTGCAAAAATGCAGCTGAAAATATTATGAGGCTTCATGAGTCTAAGTTAGACAACTCAAGTTCACTCGGTCCTTGTAGTCACATAATGTCTGCGTCTTGTCCTGGAAACAAACTTAACTGTGGCTGCCAGGAAGTGACCCTCTGCCATGGCTCAGCAAGAAAGCACTGCCAATATTATATTCATACATTAGAGTTATTTCATACTAAAGTCACTAACTTTGGAAGACACCAACCTGATTTGTCTGCTCTTCATTACAATGCATTTTTTTTTTTTTTTTTTTTTTTTTAGACAAAACGAGGACCGTGTTTTTTTTTTGTTCCCATTCTCTTACGGCGCAGTAATGTCAGGAAGGGACTGCGTCATAGCCAGTGTAGACGAGAGGGGATGATCAAGGTGACTAATTACTTTTTCAACGTGCATATGGCATGTTAGTATTGTGCTAATACAGAGAGTGGATATATCCAAACGTATCCTTTAATGTTGTCAAGAGTAGACCCTCAATCACAGCAAATTTCCACATTTAAAAAAAATACTGAATTAGTTCCGTTATTGCAGCTCCAACTTCCCTCTTTCTCTCTGTCTCTCTCTCTCATGCTGTACTGCTTCTCCTTACTTCGAAACATCCCCTTCTTATCACACCTCTCCTCCTTTTCCTCCCCCTCTCTTTCTCTCTCCGGCTGTCTCTATCTATCTTCCCATCCCCCTTGGTGTTTTTCCCCCTCCCTACAATCAATGTGGCTTTTAAGATGCCTATCGATTTGTTCCCCTAGACAGGCCCAGCGCGCTGGGGCGACACTTTGATTGCTGGGCCAGTAATTACTGTTATTATTTATGCATCTGGGCAAAATGGCAGGACTTAACATTCACAGTACAAGAGGCCAGAGGCAATCAACAGAGGTGAGCACCTGGAGAGGGAGAGAGGGCGGCAGAGTGAGGTAGGGAAAGAGAGAGAGAGAGAGAGACAGAGTAGCATTGCCCCCGTGAGAGTTGCACTCCAGAGATGAGCGCGAAGAGTGCAGTCAAAGATATTCACACACACACAAACACACACACACTCATGGGAGGGGATATGAAAGCGTAAGCAGAAGATAGGCACATGTGTGCAAATGCACTTGTATACAAAGGCTTATTCTAGTGTGTGTGTGTGTGTGTGTGTGTGTGTGTGTGTGTGTGTGTGTGTGTGTGTGTGCGTGTGATGAGGCTGTCTTACCTGTGAGAGTCCCAGGTAGATAGAAACTGTCTCTGAGATGTAGAGGAACCGTCCCTCCTGGCTGACCACAAACACAAAACCATCCAGAGACTGTGCACATAAAAACACACACACACAGACACACACAGACACACACACACACCACACCCACGGATAAACACACACACCCCCACACGCATACACATAAAGGCAAACAGAAACAAGACAGACAAATTAGAGCAATTAGTGTGTATCGAACAAATTAAAATGAGCTAGAGAACAAACAACCTGTCACCCCTCGGCCTCCTCTCCTCTCTTCTCTCAATTCACAAGCGCCCTCACTCACACATACACACACACTCACACACACACACAAACACACACTCACACACTCACACACGCGCTCACACACACGCATGCATAAATGTGAACAGACATGAAGCAACTCCCATAGATGCAAGCTGCAGCTACACACAACAGCTGTCAACAAGAGCTGCATTACTAAACACAGAGAAAGCAGCAGAGACAAAAATGCCACGTGTGCACACGCGCACACACACACACACGCGCACACGCGCACACACACACACACACGCACACGCGCACACACACACACACACACACACACACGGAGTCAGACATTAAGACAAACACATACACAAGCATACATGAACAAATGGAGCAAGGATCCATGAGAAACTGAGCTTATAGACCAGAGCTGTTTCAATCAGCTGTAATAAACTTGAGCCAAAGCTTTGCCCTGTATCTCCGGCCCCACACACACGGAAAATCACACACACACACACACACACACACAGAAACACACACCCGGACACTCGTACAGACATAAACACAGACATGACCAGAGTCATTACATTCTGCAGTGATTCTAATGAGAAGAGAAAGGTATACAGCCAGCCCATTAGGGAGGACTGCTTCAGAGAATAATATTAATCGTCATAACAAGCATTCAGGAGTGAGCCGACACAGCCTCAGCCTCACACACAAACATACACACACACACATACACACTGAGACCAGGGCCACTTTGCTCTAGAAGAATGATTGCTATTTTGGCGGCCCAGCGCTTAAAGTGGCAGTGGTAATTTATGCAACTGACACATCCAGTATGCAAATGTGTGGCCTGGGTGTGGGGTGTCGTGTGTCGTGGCGAGGAGAAACCAGCCGCCTGAATGTCGGAGAACTAAAGTGCAATTATCAGGCTATTACGGCGGGAGGACGACTGGGAGGGAAGAATCATACAGTTTTTCTGGAGCGTTAATTTGATTTCTATCAGCGCCGTTCCCTGAGCCTCCCTTCCACTTTAAAATGCCGGAGGAGAGCAGACATATGTAACGATTCTTTGTTTTACCACAACCCTCTCACTTCGAAATTTTCAGCTTCTGCTCCCTCATCCTTTTTTTTCCCTCCTTCTACCAGTTCCCACTCCTACCTGTTTCCTACTTAATCCCTCCAAGTTTTTCTTTATCCCTCTCTCCTCTGGTTGCTCTCCTAACTATTTTTCCTCCCTCAGCCTCCTCCTAGTCTAAAGTACAATCTGTGGTTTTACCTTCATCACACTTCCTCTGAGTCTTTGTCTCTACATCCTGCATTTCGTCATCCCTGCAGCCCTCCTGCCCCAGAATCCCCCTCAGGCTCCATTCATCTGTCAGTGCAAAAGGGAGGCATTCTTTGGCAGCCAACGATATCGTCCGAGCATCTGAGGTTTATGAGACGTGTGCGTTTGTGTGTGTGTGTGTGTGTCTGTCTGTCTATGTGTGTGCAATGTGTTAGGAGTTTGCTTGGAAATGTAAGTCTCATATCGTCGGAGGGAGGGAAGGCTTGAGCTGATACAATCTGTGATCGCACAGCACCGACAAACTGTAGCACAATGCAATCACTTACGAGACAAATGTGCTTGTGTGTCAAGGAAAATACTTGACTGAACTGACTTTGTGATCCATTCTGACAAACAAAAGTTTCCATACATAAACTGTAAAGCCCAGCTGACCATGAAAACCACATATAGATTTTAAACTATATAAATAAACCATATAAAACCCGACTGGACAACCTGTGAAGGGAAATTCATGTCAAATACATCATATGCACACATGCAGTCACACAACATCATTATAATCAATAAGGAGGAATAATCGGGGTGTGGATGCTGTGGTCATTACCTGCAGTAGGTGCGCCCCTAGGTGCTGCTCAAACATGTCAGTAGCCAGAGAATGAGATGATCGTCTTACTGCAGAGAGAAAGAAGACAAACACACATCAGATACTGAACGACATCAACGTAAAATGTTGATATTTTGACTATGAAGCTGATTTGGTCCTTTTTCACAGGAGACATTTTGGCCGTGTTCACACCATTAACCTGCGTCTCAGGTGATCTGATCACAAGTGGTCAGCTCTATGTGCGTCAGTTCAGTTCACACCTGGCATTAGAATGCGTCTCAAGTGACCACTTGTGATCGGATCTCACTTCCCCGTTCTATATGCAAATAAACACGTATGTGTTGTTGTTTTAAGCCAGTCAGATATGACAGACCGGTCTGTTGTCAATGTGTTTGTGTGTGTGTGGGAGAGAGGGATAGAGAGAGAGGCAGAGAGAGGCAGAGAAAGGGGCAAGGAGGGGCTGGCTGAATCAATGCACGGCGCACAGCTCTGCAATGAAATAAGGTTTTAGTCATTTGAAATAGCAAAATATTTTCGGTTCATGATGAAACTGTGGCGGGACTAATTAGACTGTGGCAGGGGAAGTCAGTTGAGTAGGCGGTCACATTTGTGTTCACACTGCTAAAAGAATGTGGACACATGTGGTCCAGACCACTGCTGAATGTGGCCTGAGTGATTGCATCTCAAATGCGTCCTCAATCTGTCTTGGGTACGTTCACACCTGAACTTACAGCTGTCTACTTGTGATGGGATCACCCGAGACGGATGTTAATGCCAGGTCTGAACAGGGGCCATTGACGTTACTAATAACATGAACACTGGTTCTGTTCTAGTCAGGTGTCCCAGACATGACAGTGTGACAGTGAGCCAGCATGTACAATACCAGGAGCCCGAAACTGAAGCAGCAAATGGAATCCAGCCATCATTAATTTTATTATTTACACCTGTGTTTTTCCTATTGAGACACGCCCAGATGTCTTCCATGATGAAAGCCAGTAATGCTGACAAACTTCCATGTTGGAAAGCTTTGAGAGTAATGGTCCAATATAACCTCAGTGAAAGGACCGTTTCAGACACATTTTGTCTAGGCATTTCAAGAACAGATTTCAGATAGTGTCTGTAAAAGTAGCACAATCTGTAGAAACCACTAATTTCTCTCACAGTTAGATAAAACATCATTGTCTCTCATCCATCAATTGTCAGCTCAGTAACAGAAGCATAAAATG